GCTTCAGCTTAGCGTTAGCCTAGCTTCAGCTTAGCTTCAGCTTAGCTTAGCTTAGCTTTAGCTTAGCTTTATATGTAGCTTCAGCTTAGCTTTAGCTTAGCTTTAGCTTAGCTTTAGCTTAGCTTTAGCTTAGCTTTAGCTTATCTTTAGCTTAGCTTTAGCTTAGCCTTAGCTTAGTTTTAGCTTAGCTTTCGCTTAGCTTCGGCTTAGCTTTAGCTTAGCTTCAGCTTAGCTTCAGCTTAGCTTTAGCTTATCTTTATATCTAGCTTTCGCTTAGCTTTAGCTTAGCTTTAGCTTAGCTTCAGCTTAGCTTTAGCTTAGCTTTAACTTAGTGTTAGCTTAGCCTTAGCTTAGCTTTAGCTTAGCTTTAGCTTAGCTTTTAGCTTAGCCTTAGCTTAGCTTAAGCTTAGCTTTCGCTTAGCTTCAGCTTAGCTTTAGCTTAGCTTCAGCTTAGCTTCAGCTTAGCTTTAGTTCAGCTTTAGCTTATCTTTATATTTAGCTTTAGCTTAGCTGTAGCTTAGCTTTAGCTTAGCTTTCGCTTAGCTGCAGCTTAGCTTTAGCTTAGCTTTAACTTAGCGTTAGCTTAGCCTTAGCTTAGCTTTAGCTTAGCTTTCGCTTAGCTTCAGCTTAGCTTTAACTGAGCTTTAGCTTAGCTTCAGCTTAGCTTTAGCTTAGCATTAGCTTATCTTTATATTTAGCTTTAGCTTAGCTTTAGCTTAACTTTAGCTTAGCCTTAGCTTAGCTTCAGCTTAGCTTTCGCTTAGCTTCAGCTTAGCTTCAGCTTAGCTTCAGCTTAGCTGTAGCTTAGCTTTAGCTTATCTTTATATTTAGCTTTATCTTAGCTTTAGCTCAGCTTTAGCTTAGCTTCAGCGTATCTCTAGCTTAGCTTTAACTTAGTGTTAGCTTAGCCTTAGCTTAGCTTTAGCTTAGCTTTAGCTTAGCTTTAGCTTATCTTCAGCTTAGCTTTAGCTTAGCTTTAGCTCAGCTTTAGCTTAGCTTTAGTTTAGCTTTAGCTTAGCTTTACTGTTACTACTAATGCTGCTTTCCTAGGGGTTCCAACTCCTAGGTAGGGTCGCACTGGGATCATTTTTTGGTCTCGGACCTCGCCGCCGCCGCCAGCTTGGACAGCTCCTCGGGGAAGTTCGGCGTACGGATCAACGGCCTCCCATGCCACGCAGACCACCGCACAGGTGATGAGGTTGCAGCCATCGTGCGAGGAAGTGGCCCTTGTATCAGCAATCAAGGTCTACGAGAAGATGCCCCCCTCTCCTGGACCTGCTGCCTGTCCTCCACTGTCAGACCATGAACAGATCACGCACGAGGAATGTGGCATCGACTCAGAATCTACCGCAGACAGCCAGGGACGTGCGCTACGGGGTTCGCCTTCGCTCCGACGGGGGAGGCCGTCTGTCTGCTTCCCCGGTAGGTCCGCCACCCGGCTAGCTCTATATCCCAGGCCGCATCACAGACCTTCGACTTCATCCCGCCATCAAGAAGAGCGCCTTGTACCGTGGCGTGTGGGGTGGCGGGCTATGGTCGGGCGGCCCCGAGACTGAGACACATCCTTTACCGAGCGTGCCAGGAGGACGCTCCCAGAGCGCTCAAGAATCCGAATCCTACGCTTGATCTGATGAACACGTTGCGTCCTCATGCGCTCGACGCGTGCCAGAACGTCGGTACGTTCCTAGCTGCCTGCGCGCGTTCTTTCCAGTCGCGCCGTCGACACTTTCATCCTCGAACGCTCACCCCGCGGGCAAAGGAGGAGCTTGAAAATGTTGCGCTCCGGCCATCCTGTCCCGCATGCCAGGACAGAGTCGCATGACCTGGCGCATGTGTATGTCGCTGGCCATGGCTGGGCCCCCCTGTGGGTTGCCCTTGAAGACCGGCTTCCCATCCAGAGAGGACACACATCTGTCCCGGAGGAAGGAACGCAGGGGTTGGAGGGTGGGATGCGCGTTCGCCGTCTCCCTTAGGGTGTGAGGCACAAGAAGATGGTAGGGCTTCGGAACCAGTTGTTGGAAGCAGTCGCAGACAGGCCGCTTCGAGTACATCATGCCAGGTCGCACACTGAGCTTGGTGTTGCTCTGTCCCGAGGGTATGAGATTTCCCACTGGCCGGTCAACAGACTTGCTGACACCACCACCCTTGCGGTCCCCGTCAAAAAAAACACTTGACAAGAATCGCGGGGGTAAACCCCTCCCCAAAGGGGAGGAAGGGGGTTGGAAGAGGAGCCGCCCTAGACCACCCACGCCCAGAGGGCTGGTGGGACTTCCTTCGCGAGCGCCCTGAGGGTCGAGGGTAAGGCTGGGCAGTTCCGAGTTCCCGGCCGAACCGCGAGCCCGGGAGAGGTCGGGGGGGGCCCTGTGTGAGGGAGGAGGTCCAGGCCTCTGGGCATCGGTCCTTCTCCCGTCGTCCTGGTCTTCGTCTTTCTCTGCCTGCTGGCTCGTCCGCAGTCGCAGCGTGGACTCGCTGCATCGGCCCTGATCTCTGCACTCCGTCCCGGCTGCTCCCGGCCCATCCGCCGATCGTGGCAGGGGTCCGGTCCTCATCCGAGGCCAGATCAGATCATGCCTTCTTCCTTCTCCTGGTCCTCGTTTCGTCCGTCGGTTGCGCTCTCGGGCGCAGCACCCGAGCGGCGCAAGAAGTCGGGGTCGTCTGCTCCGACATCGGCGCGTAAGCTGCCCGCGTACGGCCGCGCGTGAGTGGCCTCGTCTCAAATGCAGCGTGCCGCGCCGGCGGCCCGCGCAAGCCTCCGCGTAGGGTAGGAGGAGGAGGAGGAGGAGGAGGAGGAGGAGGAGGAGGAGGAGGAGGAGGTGGAGGTGGAGGTGGAGGAGGAGGAGGAGGAGGGGGGAGGAGGAGGAGGAGGGGGAGGGGGAGGAGGAAGAGGAAGGAGGAGGAGGAGGAGGAGGAGGAGGAGGAGGAGGAGGAGCAGAAGGATGAGGAGGAGGAGGACGAGGAGGAGGAGGAGGAGGAGGAGGCCCGCTTCTTTTCGTCGCGACCCGCTTGTCTTTTCGTCGCTCACTCGTCGGCCGCGCGACGCTCGCTGTCCTTCGTTCTATCTCTCCTATCGGGTGGCCTCGACGCGTGTGGCCTCGCCCGCCCGCGGGTTGCTTCTTTTTGTTCGCGGTGCTCTCGGCGCGGGGCGCTCCAGAGCGGTGCCACGACCTCGAGGAGCGGACAAGGGGCTGGCCTTGAGTCGGGCACGTCCCTCTACAGCAGGACTTGTTCCAAAGTAGCAAGACATAATCTGGATACGATTCTTCGACCATGCTTCGATCCTGTGGTGGAGCATTCTGTGACTATTCTGTATGTTTCTGCCAACATCCGCCTTTAGGGGGGCATGCCCGACCTAAGGTTAAGTCGGGCCTGTCCCTCTACAGGGGGAATGTCCACAAATAATCAAAAAATGGTCGGGGGACTATTTTTTGAGTTTCTGTTTAACAATGTCGGAGTATTGTTTGAGTATGTTTTCGCATTTTTCTTCGAAAATCCCCATGTCGGGGGAAACGCCCGACCTCAGGCTGGCCTCGCCCTCCCCCCGGCGGAGGGCGGCGGGAGGCCGGCGGAAGTGCAGCGAGGGCGGCTCCGCCTGCGGAGCGCGGCGGGTGTGGCTGCCGTGGTGCGTGCCTCACGGGCCGTGTGTCGGCGTCACCCCAGCATACTTGTTTTGTATGTGCGTCGCCCCCCCGGGGGCGACGCGCGAACCGAGAAATCTTCTAGTGTATGCGTCGTGGCGGGCGCTTTCTGGCCACACCGCTCGGGAAACGATCTACTGCAAGATGGGTATACTATACGTTCGCGTCGGGCGCGCACCTCCAAGGAGGACATATAGCATTAGTATGTCTCTGCGCGTCCCAGTGTGGACCACAGGCAGAACCGGTGCACCATGGCACCCCACCCCTGTCAGCCGAAAAGGTACACGTTGTTCATTTCTGATTCTTCGAGGGTTTTCTGATTTGTTTGGGGGCCAGGATCCTTTCATTTCTAATTGTTCCATCCTCGGCCCCTTCCTGGCCACTAGGGGGCCAGGAACAATCAGACACGAGCACAATTAGAAATGAGCACGATTAGAAACGAACGACATGTAGGTGACCGAGATAGATCTGTGACCGAAAGCGTACCCGACCGAAGTTGGAGAACGTCTCGGTTTCGAGCCAAACATGTCGGTCACTTCGGGCGCGGTCGGACATTTTCGGGCGCAGGCTCGGCAGCAGCCGGGCAGAGATTCGGGCACAGCTTCGGTCACAACGCCTCCCTGATAGAGCCGAGGCTACGTGATATGTAGCATCCGTGGTGCTTTCTTCACAGGGGTTGTTCAGGAGAGGAAAAAAAACACACAGACACAATTAATCCTCGATTCCCCAGAGAATATAGGAAAATATGGGAAGTGGGGGGGGAAGACAAAATCCCGAAAACTATGGAAAATATTTGGATTTTGTTTATTTGTGTGTATTTATTTGTGTGTCCTGGAGCCCCTTCAGTTGTGTGGACCACAAGCAGAGCCCTGTCGACTCGTGTCGGTCCGCAGGCGGACGTTGGCAGGAAGCTGTGCATTCGCGTGGGCGACGGAGCACTGGCGAGCAGAGTTGGGCTCGGAAGTCCGGCGCCCAGCCCTCGGCTTGCGCACGCCGTTCCCTCTGGTCTTGAAGGTGCCATTTCCTCTTGTCTTGGACCACGTATCCATTTTTTGGACTGGGGAGAGAATGTGTCGCCCGCCGCCCTCGTCACCGAGGCCCCCAAGGAAGCCTCCTAGATGAGGTCCGACTAGATGGTGTCGGAGGATCGCGCCGCATCCCCAATGCATCGTCGATGCATCGGCGACGTCGGCGATGCATCGGCGCCATCGGCGTGTAGAAACTCTAGCTCAACATCGAGCCGCATCGTCCATGCATCGTCGATGCGAGGCGATCCTTCGACATTATCTGTTTGAACTCCATCTGGGAGGCCTAGAGCTTCTCCTGCTTTGGGCGAGCGGCTTCGGTGCACGAGTGGCCAGCCAGGTCGTTTATGTCTTGACCCCGATGCGGAACGCGCTGACGCTGGGCTCGCAGGACTCGGTGGGATAGCGAGAATGGTGACAATCCGAAGATGACGACGGTAATGACGGTGTCGACGATTAGTTTGTCGGCGGCGATGACGATGCCGTCATTATGGCGGCGATGTTCATGGCGATGATGATGGTATGGTGATGGTACGGTGATGGTGACATCGATAATGTTGATGACGATGATGTTGCTACTGCTGCTGATGGTGTTGATGATGAATATGATGATGAAGATTACGATGCTGCAGCTGATGATGATGCTGATGCTGACTACGCCGATGATGATGCTTGCGCTGCTGATGATGCTGATTATGCTGATGATGCTGACAATGGCTACGCCAATGATGCTGATGATAACGATGATGCTGATGATGATGATGGCGATGCTGATTATGATGTTGATGATGAGGATGATTGTGGGGATGATGATGCTGCTGATGCTGGTGGTGCTGATGATGGTGGCAATGATGATGATGATGATGATGATGATGATGATGATGATGATGATGCTGGTGCTGCAACTGATGATGCTGATGCTGCTGATGACGATTATGCTGGTGCTGCTGCTGATGATAATCAAGCTGATGCTGCTGCTGCTGCTGCTGATCATGCTGATGTTGACGATGATGCGGATTATTCTGCTGATGCTGATGCTGATGCTGATGCTGCTGATGATGCTGATGATGCTGACCATGATGATGATGATGATGATGATGATGATGATGATGATGATGATGATGATGATGATGCTGATGATGATGATGATGATGATGATGGTGATGATGACGATGCTGCTGGTGATGATACTTATTATTATTATGCTGATGATGATGCTGATGCTGATGCTGACGGTGATGATGAGGAGGACGAATAGGAGCAAGAGGATGATCAGGAGCATTGGCAGGACGTCCGATGCGTGAATCTGCTTGTCAGTGCTGGATCGTCCTGGCCAGCGCCGTCAGAGTCTCTGGTGCCCTCCGTCTTCATCGCTCGGGTGTGTCTGTCGTGCGGTGGCTGATTCCCGCACCCTTCCACCCATTTCAAAGGCAGAACGAAGCAGGATGCGTGCACACGCGAATGCTTTTGGCTGCCTCTCATTTTCTTGCGTCGTCCTCTCCCGCCTGATTCTGTGGGGAGGAGAAGTGGAACAGTCATAGAGTGGAGTCTACGGTCAGGAATGTCTGCTCAGTGTGTGGCTTCGCCTGTTCTGGCCCACCACGCCTCGGCGAGACATGCTAACCACGTCTCAGTCCCTAAGCGTCAGCGTTCCCAGCTTTTCCCAGCTTCCTGCCCCACTGAGCGGAGCGAAACGCTACCACTTCGCACTGTATAGCGTGTAGTCGGGGCCGCCGTCGCGATATGCTAATCAAAAGTTCCTGACCGTAACTGCTGTCCAGATGCTGCACCAAACCCGACGAGCAACCCAATCGTAAGCCTTTGCCTCCGCGGAGCCGTTCGCATCACAGAGCTTCTCCCTCATACCTGCGGCCGTGACTGGTGTGAGCGATGGACACCCGTGAGACAGTTCAGCTTGTTCGCCCAGTTCGTTCACAGGGCCGTAGAAGCTATGAACTCATGCGCGCATTTGGGTACCGGCGGCCGTGGGGATTGGCAGGTGCGCGTGGCTCGTGAGTGTTTTCTGACACGAGGGATGATTTCTGTTCAGATCGCGCATGTGCCCCGCATCGTACTATTTGATACTTGCGTTGCCATCTACACTTTCATGTCAGTGGGTGTGCACCGCATACTGTTAGTTGAGAGGGGCGCTGTGTGTCCAGCGCAAGCATTTTTTTTTCTGAGAGGAGTTTGCGCGCGTGTGCCCCGCTTGTCATCATTTCACATGGGACGCTGCCCATGGTGATCTGGTCTGTGCCAATATGCGATGACATTGATTGATGTGTATTCTTCGCATCGCGGTGCAATAATTGGTTAGGATGCGATTGGCTGGATCAAGGGCTAGGAAAGCAGTAATCATATTGGTGCTAGCGGGGAGGCGGGTGATAACTGAAGGTGGGTGGGAGGAGGAGGAGGGCGAGGCGATTTTGGCTCAAGCCAGCCTGGCTCAGGGGAGAGGACTGGGCCAAGGAGGCCGAGTGGCCCGCGCCGCGACCTCGCGGCCTGCCGTGCCTCATGTGACGGGGCCGTGGCTGCCCTCGCGCTGGGCGGAGCAGCAGCAGAAGTCTGTGCGCCCGAGCAGCGGGCCGCGCTTCCCGATGATTAGGAGCAGAAGCTGCGGGAGGCGGCAGTCAGCGCCGCCTCTGGACGGCGCCTGGCGGCTCTCGCGATCCGTGCCCGGAAGGCGCGCGGCTGGGCGCTTCGGGCTTCCCCGACTTCTTTTTGTCTCCTTCCCCGCTGCCTGGCCGCGTCCCTGCCCCCGCCGCGGCCCCGCTGGGTGCGCCCCCGCGCTCCATCCTCCCCTGCGGCCGCCCCTCCCTCCGTCTCTCCTCGCTTGCACGCGAGCCAACTCGTGACTCCGCGTGCGGGTTGCCCCTGCAGCGCGGCGGCGTAGAAGTCTCCTTCACCCGTCTTCCCCTCTCTGCTTGCTCTCGCTGTGCTCGCGCCTCCCCCTCTGCCCTTCGGTCTCCTACCCCCGATCGTTCCCCCTCCGCCCCCTCCTGCTCGGCTCGTCCCCCCCCCTCTGCCCTCCGGCTCCCTGGATGGAAACGAGAGGCCTCGCCCTTGGCGCTTGATTTTCTTTTCTGGCCTTGTTCTTGATCCCCTCCCTCCCGCGCTGCCCGCCCGCATCGATCTTCCCCTTCCGCCCCGCTCCCGCGCCGTCTTCGCCTGCGCCTCGCCTTTTTGGACGTATGGTCTTTCCCTCCGCTCCGTTCCCCCCCCTCCCCTCCCCTGCCCCGTGCTTGGCCCTGGATCTCCTCCCGGCTGCGCTGCTCGTCATCATCGAGACTCCCCTGCCTCCTGGCCCCAGAGCCTGCCACCCACCGGCAGGGCGCGGAGGCTGGGGGGCCCGGCCAGGGCGGCGGGGGGCCGCCGTCCTCTGGCGAGCCTCGCGGCGCGGCTTGCCTGCGCCTTGCGGCGGGCATCCGCGGCCGTATGTGCTGCGCCGCCTCGCTCTCCCTTCGTCTCATGGGTGCGACGGGGGGGGGGCCCGGCCAACACGCCGAGCATGGTCACGCCATCGGGCGTTCCGTCGCGAGTGGATGGTGCTGGCCTCTGCCTCCCCCCTTCGCTCCCCCGTGCGTCCCGATGGTGGGGACCGGAGGGGCTTCTTTGCCAGCCCATCGTGGTTCAACAGACGGGGTCAATGCAAACGGGGGTCAGTCAGAGCGCCGAATCTTACACGATCCTACACAGCCATGGGCGCACTGACGCGTGCTAGGGCGGAGGATCCTGCAGGATCCTGCAGGATCTTGTCATGCCTGACTGACCCGGGTCTGGATTGACCCGGGCCAGTAGATCCCCGAACCCATGGAACAGCCGCGCGCCTGCGCGGCCGAGGGGGCCAGCAGGGTGGGGGACGAGACGGGCGAGCTGGCGAGGAGACGTCGGCAGGCCCCCCGCCCCCCCCCCCCCGAAAGAACGACATTATTATGATTGTTGGCAACGGATTCGACCGCGGCGTGCGGGGGCCGGCGAAAGCATTTTGCCACACATTGGGTGCGTGTGGCAAAACGCACGTTGGTAGTGCCCGCGTACTTCATGGCGTCCTTGAAGTACGTCTGCGCCTGACGTCTCTTGGGCCCCCTCCCTGTCTTGGCCCCTCCCAGGGCCCTCTGGCTTGCCCCACCCTGGCCTGCCTCCTGCCCCTCCGCTCCGTCTCCGCCCCCCTCTGGCTTTGCGGCTTGGCCAGTCTGGGGTCCTCTGCCTTGCCCCCCGCACCCTTGGCCTACTCCACGCCGCCCCCCCTGATCCCCTGGGCTACGTCAGTGACAACAGGGAACAAGTTGGCGGCGTCGTCTGAACGGGCCGCCGCCCTGGCAGATCCGACTTCCACGACGGCGTCTCTGCGGAGGGCCGTCATGGGCCGTCAAGCTGCTCTCCAGGGAGCCCCGTGCGTCAGGCCACGCGCATGTCGGGCAGCCCGCGCCTTGGCCCTCGGCCATGTAGATGGCCGCCCGACCGCGTGGCCCGGCGGGGGGTGGCGGCTGGCCCGCGGGCGTGGACCGCCCGAAGCGCGCGAAGCAAGAAGGTGGAGGAGGATGCGGAGGAGGAGGAGTAGGGACGGCGAGGAGGGCGAGGAGGAGAAGGAGGAGGAGGAGGAGGAGGAAGGCGAGGAAAAAGAATAATAATAATAATAATAATAATAATGATAATAATAATACTAATAATAATATAATAATAATAATATTTAATAATAAGAAGAATAAGAAGAAGAAGAAGAAGAAGAAGAAGAAGAAAACGACAAACAGGAAGGCGAACGAGGGAGGGGAGAAGAGCTCCCCAACGCGCCCTGATGCTGCTGCTGAGGACAGCCGCTCTGTCGCGGCCGGGCTCTACAGGAAAGTCTTCCGCGGCGGCTGGGCGAGCGGCTGGAAGGGCGGTGGCCAGCTGGGACGCTTTTCTGAACGATGTCGTCAGGGGGGGGGAGGAAGGGGGTTAGATGGCGGTGGGGAGGAAGCAGGAGGAATGAGGGAGAAGGGTGGGCCGCAAACCATGGCACTCGCTCGGGGCGGCCCCCCCTTTCCCTCCCTCCTCTCGCCTCGTCCCTCCCTTCTGCCTCCTGCTTCCCGCCCGCCTTCCTCCCTGCTCCGTGCTCCTTGCTCCCGATGCATCCTCCCTCCACCTCTCTTTGCACGCATACTTCTTTCTCGTAGATCCAGCGAACGTGCCAGTACGGCGGGCCTGGCGTTTCGTCTGAGACTTCCTCACTGCTTACGGCCCCAGAGCTTGAAACGTAAATGGGGTTGCGGATGGGGGACCAATGGTTTTCAACACGTGGTTCTCGCCGCAGCGCAGCGCGCATTCGTCTCACACGTGCTCAATGGCTGCACAGATTGTGGGCGAGCGTTTTAGCGTTCTCAGACTGTGGCTCTCGCCTTAGCGCCGAGACCGTTCGTCTTAAAATCTGAAGGGCGTTCTGTTTTCACAACGTGGCTCTCGCCTTGGATGCCGCGCGCACTCCGTTTTGAAACATTTCTATCCGATACACGCTTACACGGCGGTTCCTTTTCAAACGGGGGCCCTCGTTTGAACGTTCTCCAAGCATTTTGGACTCCTCTTCCAAACTTTCGAGCATAAGCCAAACTTGTGCAGCAGTACTGTGGTGAATGGTTTTTTTCAATATTGATTTCTATGCTTATTCCATTGAACTGTATGATCTCACGTCTTGGCCGGGAAGAGTCGAAGATGACTTCAAATCCAGATTCGCATATTCCGAAAACAGGGGCATACTCGCTTGTTTGCGAGTGTTTTGTGCTTCCTCCTGCGCTTCATGTCTTCTCCATGCCATGGCATGCTCACCATCTTCACCAACGGATCAATGACATGGACGCTGGCCCTCACTGCCCAACATTAACCCAAAGCGGTCCGAAAACTGCCCCAAAGGCGCCAACACGAGCCGAAGATGGCCCCTATAAGGGCCAACACACGGGCCTCACAAGGCCCAAGGCGGCCCAGTCGAGCTTCTGGACGGCCTAGGCGCGAGCATCCCCACGTCGCCCCCCCAGTTTGAATATCAGTGACACTGGGCCAAGATCGGGGCCAGCATGGGCCTCGTTTTGGGGTTCAAGTTGGGCCTGGAAGCGTTAAACAAATCGATCCCGCAGCTTGTCCAAAACGGCATCGACATCTGAATGGGGACCATATCACACGTATACGATAAGAGGCATCAGGATGACACCAGGCGAGGCCGAAATCGTCAAACGCCGTTGCAGTTTGCTATGTTTTGAAGCTTCCAGCTTGTAGGCGAAGTTGGGCCCAAGAGGCCTTCTGCGAGGGCTCAAGAGCCGATTTTGGAGGCCAAGAAGGGGCCCCGAAGGTGCCAGAAAGGAGCAGGGAGCAGCGCAGTGGGCAAACCGCTGTGAAACGCAAGGCGTACCATGTTCAAAAAGTTTGGATTAACATGCTTTGTGTTGGCCCACGTTCTTGCGCACGTATCGCGCCAGACCAGGGTTTTCGATTTACGTGTTACGAATGGCGTATGAAGGCAGCTATTGTAAGGGAAAGGGAGCTACAGCCCTGAAAGGAGCTCTCACAGCAGCCTCGTGGGCGGGTGGACCCAAGAGGCTTACGCCATGCCACAGACCCCCGAAGAGTGGACAAATCGATTCGAGTCGCTGTAATGAGGTTGGAGCTGCAGTGACTGTGTCCGAGGGCCGCGGACTTTTTAATATGCGAGTCACTTGGAGACCGTTCGGATCAATTTCGGAAGCTTTTGTGTCTCTATCGAGGCCCTCTGGGGGTCCGGTGGGCTCTAATAGGGCTATCTTGGAGGATGTCGATCAGAAAGGAGGTGGTACTTCATTTGCGCTGCCGCTCCAGAGCCAGAGAAATCGGATGTTGGGGGCCATCTGAGGGGGCCCTCATGACGGCCTTTGGGGCCATCGTGCGGGATTTATGATCCAGGGCTCCGTCGTCCGTCGTCCGTCGTCCGTCGTCGTCCGTCGTCCATCGTCGTCAGTAGTGGCCGTCGTCGTCGTCGTCGTCCGTCGTCCATCGTCGTCCGTCGTCGTCGTCCGTCGTCGTCGTCGTCGTCGTCGTCGTCGTCGTCGTCGTCGTCCGTCGTCCGTCGTCCGTCGTCCGTCGTCCGTCGTCCGTCGTCCGTCGTCCGTCGTCCGTCCTCGTCGTCCGTCGTCCGTCGTCGTCATCCCGCCGGCCTGCGGGGCCCTGGGACCCGTCCCATCGGGGGGGTTCCTGTGAACCTTCGACTGAGGATCCTTTGTGGCCCCCTCCTCCTCCTCCTCTTCCTCCTCCTCCTCCTCGTCCTCAAGCCTTTGTGTGTCGAGTCCTTTCTGGGGATAGGCCCGTCACACACACACGTACGCGTACCATGCGCCGATTGATTTCCAGGGGATTTCACTCAGGCTTGCCCGTGGCTTGAAGAGCGCCCAAAAGGGCGGCGAAAGTGCATGTGCAAGTTTCCATGGGAGGTGGTCCGAAGGATGGCAAAGCGCGTCAGAGGTCATCTTCCAGGAGTCGGCAACAACCTCACAACACAAGTCCGCATTGCCCTGGTTCTTGGGTTTTTTCTTAGCAAGGCTGGGAAGCAGGGATGGGGCGCATGTGCGTCCTGTGGCATTTTGTGGAGCGAGCTCGGCAAGGCTCATCGGCAACAGCAGCGCAGTGTTTCCTTTGCCGACGTGGTGGCAGGACGAGATCCTGCAGGAGGGATACGGTCCATCCTCAAACCAGGATCGCAGCCAGTCTCAGGTGCAGCCAGCGGGCTGGCAGGTGTCCTCCTGCCACAGTACACCAAGGCCAAGGAGGACAACGACACCACCAAGCAGCAGGCACTGCTCGCGATCTGCCCAGAGCTTGGAGTGCTCTGGAAACCATCACCAGTTAAGTTCGCCGCGGAGCAGCTTGCAGCGGCCGCACAGAAGCTGCTTCGACAACTACAGACTCAACAAGGTAAAATCAAGGCGCAGCTGGTGGCGGCTGCTCAGTCCCAGAAGGAGCTCCTCCACCGCCTCAGTGAGAACGTGGATCCGTGCTTGGCAGCTCCGGCGGAGGTGGACAGCCTGGTGGGGAAGACCATTGTGGGAGCAGCTACCGCGGCAGATCAGGAGAAGCCCCAGGAGGAGACCGAGTTCCCAGAGCTGGGCGTAGACGACTTGGAGACACTGGGAGCTGAAGGAAAGCGAGAGTATGAAGAGGCTGCGAAGGCAGCAGCTGAGGCGTCGGCGACGCTCAAGCAGGCGGCGGCAGCAAGACAACACGCCAAAGAAGCAGCTGAGCGACTTCTAAAGCTACACCAGGAAGTCAACACCAAGCGTAAGAAGAGCAGCCACGGAACGGCTCAGGCTACCAGTGCAGGCCCTGAGGACACCGCCAAGGAAGACGAGCAGGGCGTCCGCGCTGAGAACCTGGACTTCACAGATCCTGATGCCGTCAACAAGTACATTGAGGCAACGGCCCAGTTCAAGGTCAAGGCCGAGGCGCGGGCGGCTACAGCGGCAGCTGCCGGCGGTGGCGGAGGCGCATCAGCTGGGCCAACCTGCGGGTAACTCCAGCGGACGCGTCGCCAAACCCAGAAGTGCAGGTGCATCTATGGACCGCACGCTACACGTGCTGTTCGCGAACGTCACCCGCTTCGGCGAGAAGGTGCGGCACTACGTGCAGCACACCAGTTTTGACATTGCCGGAGTTGCGGAGCACCACTTGCTCGGGAACGCCATGAATATTGAGGCCATGAAGCTGCAGCGCCAGGGGTGGTATTCGCAGCGCACGTGGACTCCAGCTACACCTACGGGGCGGAGTACGGCTGGCACTCATGGGGGACCTGCTGGATGGCGCGAGCAGGGCTACTTACTTCAGCGTACGTACCTGGCGCGACGGGGAAGAGCGCGTTCCCAAAAAAAACCTTGGGGGCATATCAGTCCTGATTTGGAGACTCAAGGGGGTCGCCATACCGCTGATCTGCATATACGTAGACTCGGGCAAGGGCTTCGAGAACGAGAATGCGAGCAAGATGCCCCAGGTGACGCGTGTGGTCAAGTCCTTAGCCGCGCCGTGGGTCGTGCTTGGCGATTGGAACAACGCGCCAGAGCAGTTCGCGAATACCAGATGGCTGCAAGTTCTCGGAGGCGAACTCCTTCTACCAGCGGACAGCCCATTCACGTGCATTTCGGGCAAAGGGCGGCTCATCGACTACGGTGTCTGCTCACGCAATTTCTCCCCGTTGGTCAAGTCCTTCAAGGTGGTGCGAGATGTGCCGTGGAGCCCGCGCCTCGGGCTCGATCTGGCGCTGGCAGCCAGGCCAGCAGCGGTCAGTATCCAAGTGCCGCGGCAACCCATCCAGTTGCAGATCCCAACGCAGACGATCAAGGTCAGGAAGGGACCTGAACGAGCTCAGCGCGATCGATGGCTTCGCGCGAGACTGACCCAGCAAGAAGAGGACCACGTCACCAATCCACCGACACCTGCGGGAGGAGGAGCACCGGAGGGAGGTCAAAGGTAAGGCGACGGATGACATGTGGATGGATGCGTTACACCAGCATTGTGACGTACTAGTGGAAAGGGCGGCCTCAGTTACCCAGCGCGCTTGGAACTACCGACGGGACCCGGAGGGGGCAGAACTACTGGGGCGGAACTTCGGCCAGTGGAGCGGAGCAGCCGAGAGGTCGTTGGCGATTTTACAAGGGCACTCGACACAACGTAGTCAATTTCGAGGAGGCGTACCACATTTTCAGAAGAAGATGGCGTTCCACCAGCAAGGATCCGAGCCCTTCGGGAACGCGCCCAAGCGCAAGGAGGCCAACCTCTGGGAAGCGATTGCAGTGCGGCTACGAGAACTAGCAGTATTACAGCGGAGCCACGCCGACAAGAACACTACCAAGGCCGCGATCACCACCCTCAGCCGTACGCGCCAAGAGTTGATCA